ATATATATATATTATATATATATATATATATATATACGCATGCAATGACATTGACTAGCAGAACAGCCATTTCGTCTGGTACAACGGATAAAAAGCGTAGAAAACCAGCAACCTGTGCTTATAAATCGGGCTTACACCATGTCAAGAATAGAGAATTGGGATCTGCGAGCTGTCATAGCGCTTTGCTGTAAAAAAATTCATTCACAGATCAAAGAACGATGCCATCATGTCCCAGAGTGAATTAACCAGACCGGATATGCTGTTGGGCCAGGAGTAGATAACAATTTTGGTTGCTGCTAGATAACTGCTAAATAACAATTTTGGTTGGAGATGATGATGGTGATACTAATGCCGCTGCCGCTGCTGCTGCTGCTGCTGCTGATAATGATTATGATGATGGTGTTGATGATGGTGATGTGATGATGATGACATTAGGATGTCAGCTGCATGCCAGGGTGACGTGGTTGACAGGAAAACCCTACAAGAGGAAGGAACAGTCAGAATGTAACGCATGACATGATGAAAATATCACAGAAAGTTACAAGTGGGTCGACATGCACTAGCCAGAAGCCATCCAAGCAGATGAACTGGAAAATTAAAGTTAAAATTTATGGGCATATCGCAAATGAATGCGCCGCCGGGGCTACAACCGGGGCTTTTACGAGGCTAGAACAAGTGATTCTGTTGGCTGTTCATGTGCCAGAACACGTTGGAGGAAACGCGTAGCTAAGAAAGCGTTCACTCGGTCGTTGCCCGATGGCGACACAAACGATATGATTTCGATCCAGATTGGTCGTGAGGGTTGCCATCGGGCGGGCAAAGTGAATGAATAGTTAAAGAGTTTTGTTGTTTGTTCTAGTACCATGTCATACAACCTACATGACCTAGATGGAGCCTGGGAACTAAACAACAGGAAATAAATGTTCAGGCATATAATGCAACAGAGCGGTAAAAAAAGGAATAAAAGAAAACAAACTGCCTACAAGCTCTGTCGGATCTTTTCTTTGCTTTTTATTCAGGAGCCTTTACATCACGACGAAGCAAGACATTCACGTTTTTTGCTTCATTTTCACCGCCTGGGAATAACTACTGCAGCTCTGGTTTCATGCTAGTCAACTTTGGATGCGTTTTGTGCTCTGAGCTTCTTGGATTCAATGCCAATCAACTCAGAAGTGTTCCCAACGCGCGGGCAGGACAGCGGGGCTTTCACGCCTCAGTCAACGCATGAGATGGCCAACATTAGGCGCTGCTTGGAGCAGCACCTTAGTGTGAGGCAGCACCCTGCAAATTGCAGCGAGTTAGACAAGCCACAGAGACGAGATGCTTACTGTAGACAAAGGCAGAGAGCAAACAGCGGGTACTGGGTGCGTCATGGTCGCGTACGGTACGAGGCGTCGCCCCAGGCAGCCAGTCACGCAGGCAAATCAGGTGGCGCCACCTATAGCGCCAGGCGTCCGACAGCCAGGCGGCCGTTGGCCGTCTCTGCAGCCCGCCCAGCCGACACACAACAACGCAGCCGTCAGCCGACACACAGCAACGCAGCTCTCAGCTGACGTGCAGCTCCGCACATGCCTCAACCGACACACGGCAGCGGATATATCAGCTGACACACAGCTCAACACATATCTCAACTGACACACAGCAGCGGAGATATCAGCTAACACAGCAACAGAGATCTCGGGTGACGCACAGCTCCGCACAAATTTCGGCCGACAGGCGTTGATCAGCGTCTTTCCCTCGTCTTTCAATAATTGCTCCACGGGCCTGGAAGTTTGCGCCTCTTTGTGAGTGGGGGGGGGGGGGGGGCATGGCCCCAATGTTGAGCTGTCATCCGAACCAACGCTGTCGGATGACATGTTCTGACTTTTCTCATCACTATCACTGTCTTATTTGAAGTAGGCAGTGGATTCTTCTGAATAAGGAAACGCAATCAAGAGCCGTAAAGACATTTTACCCTTCTGGTACCCCGCCGCGTTCATGCGCCGAGAATGGCCTGCTCTGTGGCGGCATCAGTGTCTAAGGAAAAATAACGCAGGTGGCTCCAATGTTTCAGTCCGTGCTTCCATCGGCCTCCCACTCCACTCCTCCTCAGCCTCCACCTGCCGGCGGTATACGGCCCGGGGTGCTGTTAGTTATTCTATTGATATTATGCATAGTATACTACACTATTAGTTATCCTATTGATGCTATGCATAGTATGCTACGCTTTTAGTTGTCCTATTGATGCTATGCATAGTATGCTACACTATTAATAGTAAACATCAGTAGCATCTCGGGTAATAGTACTCGGGTTATCCTATTGATACTATTCATAGTATACCACACTATTAATAGTAAACATCAATAGTATCTCGGGTACCAGTACTCGGGTTATCCTTTTGATACTATGCATACTATACTGCGCTATTAATAGTAAACATCAATAGTATATCGGGTAATAGCACTCGTGTTATCCTATTGATTCTATGCATAGTATACTGCACTATTAATAGCAAACATGAATAGTATCTCGGATAATAGTACTCGGGTTATTCTATTGATACTATGTATAGTATACTACACTTTTAGTACTAAACATAAATCACATCTCGGGTAATAACACCATTCTTGCCGCAAAGAAAATCCCGCAGAGCATTTATAGAGGTGGGGCGGAAGTCGAACATGCTCCCGGGTGATGGCCCGGCGGTCCGTCGAACTTTGAGAGCGGGCTCGCGCGGTGAGTCTCTTCACTGTTCCACCTACACCATCACAAAAGGCTTTTCTGTGACGTGTCGCGAATAAGTAACAAGCACAGATCAGCTGGAGTTGGCTTTGGTGAAGGCTTATGCTCCGAAAGCTAGGCTTAATTGTATACTGAGGGCCCGATCTGTGGGCGAAATAAGCTGTCTTGGATTAGATTGTCTTCCTGTCTCAACATTTCAGTCTTGCCGTTTGGAATGTGCAGGCTGCCTCGGTTTCGTGCCGCGTGCAGTGAATCACACAACTGTTAGCTGTCGTTTCCGCAGGTCATTCGTCTTAATGCGCGCGCCGAACGGATGCTCTGTTGCTCACGTTGCATCCCGATGCCCTTAACTGAAATTTTGAACCCAACACGACCAAATTTCCGAAAAATATGCACCCAAACGATTTCTTTCTGCTTTAAAGATTCCTTCAAGTCCCTACGTGCGCGCTTTATGTCTTTGCGAACAACGCGACGCTTTGTCAAATTTGTTATCGCTGTGCTCATCTCCTCAATAAGTTCCATCCATTTGTGCAGTGTCCTTAACGTCAAGCGGTCTGTATAACCCATGCTGGTGCTCCACTGCGTGGCTGATGGTGCCCTCCTTTGGCCCGAGCTGCGCTGTGTGTGCCTGTCTGGTCGACGGCTGGTCGTAGCGGGCGGTCTCATTGGAGAATGTACGGACTGAGAAGACTCTTCAGTATCAAGTTTCCTGCGAACTTGGGCGGTGTTTCCTCCGCCGTCAGCAGACCGTGCAGCTTGAGGTTTCTGGGTGAGTGCAGCTGGCACTCGTCGGCAGTGTGATCCTGCGAGACGTGCATAGGGCATCTCCCACTTCCAGAAGACCGTGCAGATTATTGTTGCTGGATGAATGCACCTGACTACGGTGAAGCTTTGTCTCCTTCTTGGCGCTTTCAGTTAAACGGATCTTCGTCCTCCATCCGGCTGCAGAAATCCTCTTTATTTTATTGCATTTTACTAATAGTTCTTGCTAGTGTTGTGGGTATATAGGCTTTATCACACTTTCACGCTTCAGCGTGGTGTCAAAATGGTACGCAAATGGTCTTCAGTTGGTTTCACTAAACGTGCGTAAATAAATTTTTGTTCATGGAAAGTGTGGCCGATTCGGCAGCAGTTCCTTTTTGACTACTACTCTACCGCGCTCTGGCTCCCTACGAAGTACAGGATCACCGGCAGACATACCTATGCTATCCAGTTTGGTCGTTATAATGTAGTATCCAGCCCAGTGTCACTCCGCTACCGTTGCGCCGCGCACTCTGAGCAATGATCACACCCTTTGCATGCAAGTGGTGTGAACACTGGGCTGAGCACCCAAGCGTGATGCATTCCATCCCTGCCACGCCACTTACCAGCAAATGTCCTCCCTCCCGTTCTCTCTCCGCGCCGCCTCGGACCGCGTTAGCTACCCGGCGCTAGGGGGAAACGTGCGGGGAGTGGGAGCCGGCCCCGGCGCGGGATGGGAGGGGGGGGGGGCAGGGGGGACGAATTGATGCTCGCTGCACGAGCTCGCGTGTAATTCAGCAGCCGGTAGTCGGCCCACGTTCGTTGTTGATACTGGAATAGAGAATCGACCAGCAGTTGGAGTAGTAGTTCGAGTAGCTGGTGGAGACTGGTATAGAGAATCAATCTATGCATAGCGAATCCACAAACGATCCTTACTTCGAAATTTAAGAAGCGGTGTTTTTGAACATAAATTTTGAGAACTTATACACCAAATCAAGAGGTTTTTGGCTGTTGTAGCATATTTGTATCTTTTCTTGGAGCACCGTTATGCCGAAAATGGACCCGACATAGCCACGCTCACGGCGCCATGGCTTATGACTTAGTCTTAGCTATGCTAATTCAGCTTAACTTAATAATATATATATAATAATATATAATGTAATAAATATGATAGCACATAACATAATATAAATATATATATATACATATAATATAAAAAATAAATATATAATAATAATATAGTAATATATAATAATAACTTAGCTCTGACTTAGTTTATCAGATACGGGACGTTCAACACCATGCTACCCGCTGCAGAGGTAACCGTGGGTGGGATCTGAATCACCATGGTAACATCGTCCCCAGGCTGTCGCAGCACTACCTATGTTGGTCCTACTGCTCGTCTCGTAGTGCAAACGCTATGCATGTGCGCGTACTTGTTTTCTGTCTCGCATTTTCATTCTGGGTTGTGTGATGTACCAAACCGCCTTCCACCAAACACGGGGTACAACACAGGGTATATAAATTCCAATTCGCTACAAAAGATTTATTCTGAACACCATTGAACACATCATTTTACAACAGCATACGTTGGAAGACGATTGACCATCCAGACAAAAATGGAAGACGGCTGTCTGTAGGTCGGCAGACATTAGGGAGGTGACATCAAATCGTACATCAGCGGGGCCGAGCGCCACATGACCCCAATCCAGATCACGCGGCATCAGTCAGGGCAACACACACTCTGGAACACAATGCTCGTTTCAGTGTGGTCTGGACTCATCACGCGCGAGGGAGAACGCGAACAAAAACTGAACCGCCAAACGCACAGCGCATGTCCGGAACAGCCGCGGTGCTTGCCATGAAATGAAGCAAACAAGATTGCACTAGATTTTATGACGTAGAGCACAACAATAATACACACAACTCGAAAGCATTCAAATTATGCAGCCAACATTGAGCCGGCACCATGGTCTCTGACTTAGCTGGGGGAGTCCAGCAGCATACGGCACAAAAAAACCCACCCGAGGAGGGGGTGGCACACCATTTGACAGGTCGGCGGCACACCACACGAGTGATCCGCTTCAGGAAGTCCTCCCTGCCTGACCAAACTGTGCTAATCGCCATCGGGTATATGGACTAACAACGAACCCTTTCAATCAAAAAGTTTTCTAACGACCCCTCATGACGACACGATGCTGTCATACCGATTACGCCGCGCCCAGGGGCATCCAGCGACGGGCGCATGTCACACGCCCCCAACTTGCCTACGAGGTGCAGACTAGAGAGGAAATTCCCACGACACTGAGCACTGACAGCGCCACTAATCCCACCCGAGTGCACGTACCACCAAATATAAATGCACCAAATCTGTGCAGCTACTTATCACAAAAATGCCCGCGGGTAATCCAACTTAGCTCCAGCTTAAGACTTCTTTTATCAGTAGACCGAGTCGGTTTTCACCGCTGGACATGGAACGCCCCGCCGAAAAATGAAATACTAAGTTTGTAACCTGTAAATACAACGGATTCATCATCCACCGTACAGCTTTCCGCTCCGACAGCCAGCCACGTCCGCTCTCCCGGCGACACCCGACAGCCGCCTCACTCCTTCGCCGCCCGTACTCTCACACCAAGCCGGAGCCGAACACGACACTGACCGCCGACCCGCAGCGTCCCGGCCGCGGCCTCGGCGCGCGGGCCGCGGCCTCGGCGCGCGCCGGGCTCACTTCGTGCCGAAGCAGATGTACTTGACCTCGGTGTAGTCCTCCACGGAGTAGTGGCCGCCCTCGCGGCCCAGCCCGCTCAGCTTCACGCCGCCGAAGGCCGCCTCCGGCTGCGAGATCAGGCCCTCGTTCACCCCGACCATGCCGCACTCCAGCGCCCGGCTGACCCGCCACGCCTGGGGCACGTCGGAGAGGGGGAGATGTTAGCGCAGCCGGACGGCACAGGGACACGGCACGCCTGGGGCACGCACCGGAGAGGGGGAGACGTTAGCGCAGCCGGACGGCACAGGGACACGGCACGCCTGGAGCACGCGCCGGAGAGGGGGAGACGTTAGCGCAGCCGGGCGGCACAGGGACACGGCACGCCTGGGGCACGCGCCGGAGAGGGGAGACGTTAGCGCAGCCGGACGGCACAGGGACACGGCACGCCTGGGGCACGCGCCGGAGAGGGGAGACGTTAGCGCAGCCGGGCGGCACAGGGACACGGCACGCCTGGGGCACGCGCCGGAGAGGGGGAGACGTTAGCGCAGCCGGACGGCACAGGGACACGGCACGCCTGGGGCACGCGCCGGAGAGGGGGAGACGTTAGCGCAGCCGGGCGGCACAGCGGTACCGCTGCGGCGTACCGCAGCGGTACCACAAAGTGGTAGCCGGTGCGGCGGCCGGGCTCCCATCTCCGGCGAACGCCGCTGCAGGCGACCGCGCAAGCGACGGCTCCGTCCGGGGTCAGGTCAGGTCACGCACCACTCAGTCCAGGCTGCCCGGACAGAATGGCGTGGGCCACATGGATATAGGCTGTCATGGGTCACATGGACACGGCCTGAGGGCACCACACGAACATGACCTGTTGTGGAACGGATGGACAAAAATCGAGATGGGTCGCACCAACACAACCTGCCACGGACCATATGGAGACCACCTGTCTTGAGCACACGCACAGCTTGTCGTGGACACGTGCCACGGCCGGCCCAGTGGCGACCTCATGTCCCCGAGCCCCCCGGACTGCTCCCGGCCCGCGCCGGAAGACTCGAGCGTTCTGTTGTTTGGTTGCTGTCGTTTGATTGCTGCTGTTTGATTGTTGTTGCTTGATTGTCATTGGCACCACCGACCTCACCTGACGAGACCTAACTGACCAGCTAGCTGAACCAGACTGCAGCCTGTTCTGCTCTCTCCGCTCTCAGAGCTGTGCGCTCTCTGTGAAGATGTGGGCGGTCACGGCGCGGTGGGAGCCAATGACTCTCATATCGTCCTGACCTATCGAGTCCATACTATATCGGACCTAACCGGACTCATCCCGGCCCATCTTGACCTCGCCGGTGAAGTCTGCACCCTGGCCACATCGAGCCTGACCTGTGCGATGTTTTCGGTGAAGATGTAGCCGGCCAGGCCCATGTCGCTGCTGTTGGCGATGGCCAACGCCTCCTCCTCCGTCTCAAACCTGGCGGCGAAACGCCGAACCTCGCCTCAGCGAGGGCGCCGAACCGGGGCGCCACTGCGCGCGCCTCCCAACGGCGGGCAGCGGCGGCTCTATCTCACAGGCTGGGGCTCGCCCTGAGGCTGCGCATACCGCCACTGCGCGAGCTTCCGCTGGGCGGCCCGACAGCTAGACTGGCCACCATTCATGTCAGCTGGCCACCATTCATGCCAGCTGGCCACCATTCATGTCAGCTGGCCACTATTCACGTCACTGCTGTAAGCAGTCATGCGCATTGACCCCATAGTTTTCGGCACTTTGAGGTCGGAGATGTTATGCTGGCATTTGTCGACCTTCAGTATCACGGGAGGCACTGGTGAGACAACGTTATCAAGGAAAAACTGATCCGCACAAGAGCTCTGAGCTGAGAATCGACACCGCTGTGTCGCCCTCGATAACGTCGAATGGGAGCGTGGGAGAACAGAGAGCAACACAAGCACACATACGCACCTGCCACCGACAGTAGTGTTGGTGACAATATCCCAGCACGCGCTGCACTGCAAAGCCGTGTACGGTTGCCGCTTCCCCACTCCACGCGGTGTCCCCTCTCCCCCCGGCACATCCGCCCTTCGGCTCCACCTTCCCTGCCGCGGCGCGCGCGTGCTCCCCGCTGCGTCACACACTGGTGCGTGCACGCTCCGCGCTGCGTCACACACTGGTGCGTGCACGCTCCCCGCCGCGTCACACACTGGTGCGTGCACGCTCCCCTGGCGCACGCTCGGCGTCACCGACGGGAGGCGCCTCCGCCCCACCCGGCGCCAGCACAGCCCCGAAGTCGGCCGGCCGAGGGCAGCCGCGCCCCCCTCCCCCCCATCGCCGGTGGGCGGGGCGTCGGCTCACCTGGCGCAGGCCGCCACCGGGCCGAACACCTCCTCCCTGAAGCAGGCCATGTCGGGCGTGACCTCGGTCAGCAGCGTCGGCGGGTAGAAGCGGCCCTCCGGCGCCGCGGAGCCGGGCCGCGGCCACACCTGGCGGGCGCCCTGGCGCACAGACTCCGACACCAAGCCCGACACCTGGCGGCCAGCGGCGGAACTAACAGCAAGACACGACTCGTGGCCCGCGCGAGACCTGAAGGCAGCGGTGCAGCCTCATATTCAGCAATCTCCTAACTTTTCCGTACTTCCCTTACTTGGGATGCAGCACCCTCTTTGGAGAGAAAAGTGGGCTAAACTCGTAAAAATACTAGTTTGTTGACTTATTTTGAAGCAGGTTTTTCCACTTCCTGCTGCTCAGTCCCCTGTCCAAAATATTTTAAGACACCACACAGCTGGCTGAAGAATACACAGCTGGTGACGGCACAGGCTTGAAGCCACACCATTTCATGCAATTATGAGAAATCAACTTTTGTAAACTGCAAAAAGGCAAGTTAGTGAGAGCACTCCACGTCATAAAAATGCTTTCTGGGCAGTTGACTTCATCCGGGGAGCCGCCTCAGATGCTCGCGAACAGTGCTTTTGGGGAGATAGCTTTAACGACTAGACAAACGTAAAGCACTAATACTTTTAGTTGGCGAGTTCTTAACATCTTTGCAATGGTAACCGTTCATGAAGGAAAGGTATTTAGACCATGTGTTATGACCGCGTAATGACAGTTTTCGGACCATGTTCTCACCAGTTTGATGGCACTTGACAGCAACACTGGAAAACCCACATTCTGACCAATCTATCTGTGATGAGACAGCGCACAAAGCGCGCAGTCCTCGCATGCTGTGAAATCATCACATGACAGTCACTTAGCACAGCTACGGGCGCAACGTGACCCAGGCAGTCGAAACGCCCTCAAACTCTGACATCATAAACATGGCATATTTACACATTCTGTGGACATTGCAAGACCACCCCCCCCCCCCCCATGGGTCACGACTGATGACCTCTTTGTCGAGAGCCCGATCGCCCAGTCGTTCAATCGTGTCAGCCACATTGGGCGTCTAGAAAGCGGTCCCCCTAAGCGATAATGTGCTCTCAGGGGCCTCCCATGCTGATTTCCTGTATCTTACCACACACACGTTACCATCCTAACAAAAAACAAACTAACAAACAAACAAAAACAAACAAGCAATGAGGTCGGGGCATCCCAAGGCGAAGACAAGCCGAATGCTGCCATGAAGAAACGTTTATTGAAACAATGAGACCTCTCACAGGCGAAGCGTGACATAGCCTTGTGGCATTAACCGATACTTGATAAACTTTAACAACCATCATTCACTGCCGTTTGTTTTACTGGCGTGTTGTGCTTGGTTCTTAAGATCAAAAGCTCGCTACCCACACAAGGTTTGACCCACATCACCTGTTTTTACAAGGCGCGGTTGACACTCGCCGAAGGCTTTCCGGCGGCGTGTAACAGAGCGGAACCAGCGTATAGCTATATATCAAGAACGCCGGTTGTTTACCGCTTGGACTTAGCGTACAATGCACTGGAGAATGCCAAGCGCAAGCGATAAAGAACGGGCGTAAATTCGCTTTGCTCCACCACTAACCTTGCCTGGTCCAATGGATCTGCTCCGATGCAGTTTTACGTTAACATCACTCCACTTATATACATCACTTCATCATCACATCATCATCACTTATACAACATCTCTTCCGCTTTGCCCCAGCATGCATAACTTTGGAGAGAGTTTGGAGTGGGAGGGGGGGGGGGAGGGGAGGGTGAGGGACGTGAAGACTCTCCGTCCCGCGACAGCGGGAGCGTACGGCTCAGCATCGCCGTCACCGTGTCAGCGCCGACTGAAAACGGACACGCAGCTCGTGCTGGCGTGAAGTCTGCCTCCCGTCTCAAACGAATTCCAGTCCAGATATTGTGACTAACGGAGTCGAGTCGCATTTATACATACATACATATATATATATATATATATATATATATATATATATATATATATATCTCTCTCTCTCTCTCTCTCTCTCTCTCTCTCTCTCTCTCTCTCTCCCTCTCTCTCTCTCTACGTCAGGCACTACCCTATCCCCATGATATCCTCATCTCATCCGTTTTGCGAGGCCAAAGCTTGTCAATGAAAAAGCTTAATCAACTGAAAGCTCACCAGTTGATAAGCTGTCAATTGATTATCAAAGCTTATCAACTGACAGCTCCTGGTGCTTCAAAATGAGCACAAGGAGCAATCAAAGTTATCAAAAAACTTAAGAAGTCATCAAAGTTAACAATGAATTCAAAATGACCACCAGAAGCTTGCTCGAGCTTGCTGTACTGGGTACTGGGTACTGGGCATTCACTGAACCTTTCAGAACCGTTGAACCATCCACATCCGACCGCGCCCAGGGGCGTCACCTGCCCTCCGCACCCTCCCGCCGCAGCGCCAGCCGTCGGGCGGCGGGCCCACCTTCTCCAGCTGGGCGTTGTTGACCAGCGGGCCGAGGTTCACGCCATCGGCGGCGCCGTCGCCGGCGGTCAGCTGCGATGCCATGACGGAGCCCAGCGCCGCCACAAACCGGTCGTACACGCCCGCCTGCACCAGGATGCGGTTGGTGCTGATGCACGTCTGCCAGCGAGGGGAGTCATCATTATCATAATCATCATCATGATCATCATCATCATCACTACCATCATCATCACTGTCATCATCATCACTGCCATCATCATCACTACCATCATCATGCCGACCGTCATCTTCATCATTCCATCATCACCGACGTCGTGCATTCATCATCATTATCGTCATCATCGTCGTCGACATCTTCGTTATCAGCATCATCATCACTGATGACATTTGCCAGGTTATAGTAGTGCATGCAAGATTTTCCAAACTCATGCATTGTTTCGGTCCATGCTTCTGAGGTTGGTGCTATGATGACTCATCATCCGCGATAGCAGCATTGGCTGTATCATTACTGCTACTATTCCGGTTCTTATCATTATCATCATCATTGGCACCATCATCAACACCCACACAATTTCTAATGGCTACGCACTGTCTGCGTTTCTGTTCCGGAATGTCATCATCATCATCACGACCAGAACCAACAGCCCACACCGGACTGGCAGACAAGCACGACTGTCTAAGGCGAACAGCCTCGCTACCTTGGCTACCTTCAGTCACCACCCAGCATCACCCGCATCAGCCAATCCATCGCCAGACTTCCGACACCCCATCACCTCCCCTCCGCTCCCTCCCCCTCTCCAGCGGCGGCGGCGCAGTCCCCCATGCGTGCTGGGCCCGCCGGCGCCTCCCCCTCCCCGGCGGCGGCGAGGCGGCGCCAGCCTCCGTGCGTGCTGGGCCCGCCGGCGCCTCCCCCTCCCCGGCGGCGGCGGGTCGGCGCCATCCTCCGTGCGTGCTGAGTCCGCCGGCACCTCCCCCTCCCCGGCGACGGCGAGGCGGCGCCATCCTCCGTGCGTGCTGAGTCCGCCGGCGCCTCCCCCTCCCCGGCGGCGGCGAGGCGGCGCCAGCCTCCGCGCGTGCTGAGCCCGCCGACAGCTAACCTGGCCGGAGTTCCTGAACTTGGAGGCCATGCAGCCGGCCACCGCCTTCTCCAGGTCTGCAGAGTCGAACACGATGAAGGGCGAGTTGCCGCCCAGCTCCAAGCTCAGCTTCTTCACGGTGGAGGCGCACTGCGCGTACAGCAGCTTGCCCACGGCCGTCGAGCCTGGAACGAGAAAAACCGTACTCGTCGTCGTCACTGGGACTTTACGACGCACTCAGCTGATAAGGCTACACGGCGTCGCCTGCCTCTCACCCTGGCGTGAAAGGCAGGCACTACGGGAGAAACCTCACTGTCAGTGCGCTACGCCGCATGTGATTATCTCACCTGAAGAAGTGCAAAAACCGTACTGACGTCGCCCCAGCCTGCTCAGCTGGCAAGAGCTGGCGCGCGGCCAAAACAGCGGGCAGCAAGTGCCAGTTGGCTCGCAACGGCACGAGATATACCGACTGGGTTCGAACGCGAGCACCCGTGAGTGCAGATGTCCCCAACCACCACGCGGTCATGTCCAGACTGTTTCCAGTTAAAACGTAAGGAAATCGGATGAGTGCCTGCAGTACTCGGCAACACACAAATCCGAACCGGCGAGTGCGCCAACACAACCCCCACCTGAGCGTGCACGGCCCAGCCTCATCCGTGCGGGTACCCCTCCCCCCCAAACCACCGTCACCTGTGAAGGAGAGTACGGCGACGCGCGGGTCCCGGCAGAGGGCCGCCCCCACCTCCGGCGTGCGCGCTCTGGAGGCGGTCAGCACGCTTAACACGCCCGGCGGCAGGCCGGCCTGCTCCGCCAGCGCGGCCAGAGCCAGAGCCGACAGCGGCGTGTCCTCGGCCGGCTTGGCCACGGCCGCGCAGCCGCAAGCCAGAGCCGCCCCCAGCTTGCGCAGCAGCATCGCGATCGGGAAGTTCCACTGCCGGGCGGAGCGTGACACAGTGGTGACGAGGTCAGGGCGTGACACAGTGGTGACGAGGTCAGGGCGTGACACAGTGGTGACGAGGTCAGGGCGTGACACAGCGGTGACGAGGTCAGGGCGTGACACGGCGGTGACGAGGTCAGGGCGTGACACAGTGGTGACGAGGTCAGGGCGTGACACAGTGGTGACGAGGTCGGGGCGTGACACAGCGGTGACGAGGTCAGGGCGTGACACAGCGGTGACGAGGTCAGGGCGTGACACAGCGGTGACGAGGTCAGGGCGTGACACAGCGGTGACGAGGTCAGGGCGTGACACAGCGGTGACGAGGTCAGGGCGTGACACAGCGGTGACGAGGTCAGGGCGTGACACAGCGGTGACGAGGTCAGGGCGTGACACAGCGGTGACGAGGTCAGGGCGTGACACAGTGGTGACGAGGTCAGGGCGTGACACAGTGGTGACGAGGTCAGGGCGTGACACAGTGGTGACGAGGTCAGGGCGTGACACAGCGGCGACGAGGTCAGGGCGTGACACAGTGGTGACGAGGTCAGGGCGTGACACAGTGGTGACGAGGTCAGGGCGTGACACAGCGGTGACGAGGTCAGGGCGTGACACAGTGGTGACGAGGTCAGGGGCGTGACACAGTGGTGACGAGGTCAGGGCGTGACACAGTGGTGACGAGGTCAGGGCGTGGACACAGTGGTGACGAGGTCAGGGCGTGACACAGCGGTGACGAGGTCAGGGCGTGACACAGTGGTGACGAGGTCAGGGCGTGACGAGGACATGCTGACGTCACGTGACAACCTCGTCACACACGTGACGCAGCGATCACAGAGCCTGGGCTCCGGTTTACACCAGAGCTCGGTTTGTGCCGATGCGCCTGGGCAAGAGGTACAGCAGATTGCGAGAGAGGAGAGCTACGCAGACACGAGTGCCTAGCGTCGACACAGAGACAGGTGGCGTAACAACAACGCCGTGTGCTCCCAAGCACTTGTAACCGCCGACTGGCGTCACCCACCAACAGCGCTTTTATGATTTATAAAGCTCCGAGAGGCCTACCAATTCCACCAGCACGATTAAGCACTTGCACAGATAACAGTAAAACACTTAACCAGGCGTTTCGAGACGGAGCTCCGTTCAGTGCCCGTCATGCCGTCGCAAGGCCAACGTCGGTGGGATTTACGGGCAACGTACGCTAACGCAGGCATGATACGTAGGCACAGGTAGACTTTTGAACGTGATGGGGGAGGACAAAGAAGGTTTCTGGTGCGCGTGGTGTCACGCAACGCACCAGACCCTGAGGCAAATTATCAGAGAACCGCGTGAAAGAAGAGGAGGGGGGGGGGGGGGGGGGACACTTCGCCATTTTGGTTCCACACGCGCTGCAGGGGAGCTACGAGGTTAAGGAGCCAAGGAGCCAGGGAGGCGGAGGGGAGGGGGCCCTGATACCAGCGCGTGAAACATTTGACCATTACAACAAACTCAGGTGACATGGCCGCGGTTAAGACCGTGGTACCGGTGTGATGACGGTGTTAACTGCACCGGCATGACGACGTGTTTACTTCAACCGTGTGATGGCATGTTACTGTTCCGGTAAAATGACGTGTTTACTGCACCGGTGTGATGACGTGTTAACTGTACCGGTGTGATGACGTGTCTACCGTACCGCCGTGATGACGTGTTTACTTCACCCGTGTGATGACCTATTTACTGTACCGGTGTGATGACGTGTCTACCGTACCGCTGTGATGACGTGTTTACTTCGCCCGTGTGATGACCTTTTTACTGTACCGCTGTGATGACGTGTTTACTGCACCCGTGTGATGACGTGTTAACTGTACCGGTCTGATGACGTGTTAACTGTACCGCTGTGATGACGTGTTCACTGTACCGGTGTGATGACGTGTTAACTGTACCGGTGTGATGACGTGTTTACTGTACCGGTGTGATGACGTGTTCACTGTGCCGGTGTGATGACGTCTTCACTGTACCAGTGTGATGACGTGTTTACTGTACCGGTGTGATGACGTGTTTACTGTACCGGTGTGATGACATGTTTACTGTACGGCTGTGATGGCGTGTTTACTGCACCCGTGTGATGACGTGTTGACTGTACCGGTGTGATGACGTGTTGACTGCACCCGTAAACACTGCACACGTGTTAACTGTACCCGTGTGATGACGTGTTTACTGCACCCGTGTGATGACGTGTTAACTGTACCCGTGTGATGACGTGTTTACTGCACCCGTGTGATGACGTGTTAACCGTACAGGTGTGATGGCGTGTTTACTGTACCGGTGTGATGAGGGCGGCCACTCCGGCCGGCTGTCGGATCATCAGCGTCTCCTTGTGCGGCGCCGCGCCGTCCACCACCTCACCCTGCCAGCAGGGACACGGCGTCAGCATGACACGGCACGCCAGCCGACATCAGCAGGTGTCATGACACGTCGTCCCGCGGCTCCGTCCCGTCGGAAGGGAAGCACAGCGAAAAAAAACAACAAAGACAATGAACAGAGAGAACGCTCACAGGGGCGGCGTCTGTGACCTACGCCGGCGGCGTCTGTGACCTATGCCGCCGGCGTCTGTGACCTACGCCCAGCCACGTCTCCCAGGGGCTTGTCCAACATACGGCAAATCAAATGACCCGTGAAACGCAAGTCAACTACAGAGCGACCGCGCGGTCAAGCTCCGCCCAGACGACATCTGGCAGACAACATTAACATCAGAATTCACGATCAGGCGTCGTCGTCACCCCACAAAGTATGAATGTTTCCTGCTGCCACGCCGCCGCTAGGCGCGCATAAGCCACGCTCTCGCCAGTAGCTCTCCCATCAACGCCGGCGGTGTCAGTCAACGCCCCTGCCCTGGGTAGGGATAGCCTCGCGCCAGGTCCACCTCGCCAGTAGCTCTCCCATCAACGCCGGCGGCGCCAGTCAACGCCCCTCCCCGGGTGGGGATAGCCTCGCGCCAGGTCCACCTCGCCAGCAGCTCCTCCCACCGACGCCGGCGGCGCCAGCCATCGCCCCTCCCCGGGTGGGGATAGCCTCGCGCCAGGTCCACCTCGCCAGCAGCTCCTCCCACCGACGCCGGCGGCATCAGTCACCGCCCCTCCCCGGGTCGGGGTAGCCTCGCGCTCCAGCGGCGGCCACTCACGTGGATGCGGCGCGCCTCGCCTGCGAACCACTCGATGTAGCCGGCGCCGTAGGCCACCTCGGCGCGCGCCTCGGCCAGCGGCTTGCCCTGCTCTGCCGTCAGCAGGGCGGCCAGCTGCTCGCCGTGCTCCTCCAGCAGGCGGAAGTAGGCCTGCAGCAGCTGCGAGCGCCGCTGTCGGCCGCAGTGAAGCCTGGTCATCACCCGGGGACGGCCGACTTCGCAGTCCTAAGGGCAGTCTCAGCTGTTCCGCCGCGATCAAAGGCCACGTCAATGCGGACAAACATGCCGCTCCTCTCGTGCTCCATGTGAGTGTCGCGCGGACCCTGATCATTGCAGGTGTTGCTACTACTTTTCCCGGAGATTTCACCTGTGTTTTTTTTTCTCTGAGTGATACATCTTTGTGTGTATGTGTATACGTATGTGTGTGGGGGGGGGGGGGGAGAGAATATGACCATCTTAAAGGCCACAGCACCCGAAGAGATACCCAGTTCCACCCCGGGCATGGCACGCAGCGCCCCTCGGGCACGACAGGTACCTACTTCCCTTGGGCAATGTGTGTGTACCCCTGGCACGATCTGTGCTCACCCTGGGCGCGGTCTGTCCCCAGCTCCTCTGCGCCTCCGCCGCCGCCGCCACGGCCCGCGCCGCGTCAGCCTCGCCCAGGTCCGGCACGCTGGCGATGACGTCATCGGTGGCCGGGTTGATGACGTCAAAGGTGGCGCCGTCGGCGGCGACCGTCCACTGTCCGGCGACGAGCGCGCGCTCGCGGAGGAGCGAGAGACGGCGCCGGCCGACGCGCGTCGCCTGTGGGCGTGGCGACTCGTTGCGGGTGGGGCTCCAGCGAGGCCGACACCGGCGGCGGGAGGGCAGGGTGGGGCGTGAGGGGGCCTGGACCGGGCGCCGCCGTGGACAGCAAGACGCGCCGGCGCTGTACACAGACGGCGATACCGACCCCGGTGCGAGGTAGGATGCAAACAAGGCGCTCCAACATACCGCAAAGCTTCCTACCACACCACCTGCCGGTACCGTTCAACATATCACAGAGCCTTCTACCACGCTACGCGCCGGCGCCATTCAACATATCAGAGAGCTCTACTACACTACGCGGCGGCGCCATTCAACATACCACGGGGTTTCTACTACGCTACGCGCCGGCGCCATTCAACATACCACAAGACTTTCTAACACGCCGCGCGCCGGCCCCATTCAACATACCACGGGGTTTCTACACGCTACGCGTCATCCAACATACCACAGGGCTTTGTGCCACGCCACGCGCCTGCGCCATTCAACATACCACGGGGTTTCTTCACGCTACACGCCATTCAACATACCACGGGGTTTGTCCACGCTACGCATCATTCAACATACCACGTGCTTTCTACCACGCCGCGCCGCATGAGACGAGCAAGGCACGCGTCAGCGATCAGTCCGTGACAGTAACGGCGCCAGTGGCAGCCAGGCGATGTGGAGACTGGACCTCCATACAGCGGATCGTCTCGCTTACCTGCCCAGCACTCAGCTGGCGGCCCAAGAGTCTGTAGCTGAGCTGAAGAGCCATGCCCGTCGGCGCAGGATCCCGGGGTCAGCGGTCACGCTCGGCGCCTGGGGACACGGGACAAGAAACCAGCATCACTTAACGGTCCTCTGATGTCAGGGCCATGCATGTGGGCTTTACGACGGGGAAGCCTGGCCGTGTCTGTTGCTACGCACAAAGTCCACCGCCAGACGAAAAGAGCCATCTGACTTCTTAACCAGCACAACAAGTGACGACCGAGGACAATTGGAACGCCGGATTAGCCCGCGGGCCTCCATGTCGGCGATCTGCCTCCACACCTCTGGTCCCAAATGATGTGGGAGCTCGTCTGAGCCTGACCGCGACAGGTCGTGACCCGCCGATGTTGTCCCAGTGTCCGTCAAGTAGACTCTTCAGTTTCCTTCCACTGACCTCACTGACTTCCGCTTCAGCCAAACCAACGGTTACCGGTCCGAGCCATTAAGGCTTGCCCCCCCCCCCCCCCCCACACACACACTAAAGCCGTCTTCATGTCTTCCACTTTGCCAGTAACGGAATGGATAAAAAGATCGACAGAATCGGGTCCGGGGTTTTCCACGATTGGAATGGGGTTATCAATCACAGGCCGACCCAAGCAAGGACTAACCGAAACTCTTCGTTCGATTTGAAAACTTCGAAATGTTCGATTTGTCGAGGATCCGGATCAAACATGAGGCCTCGAGAAATCGGCCCGAAGTCCTCACCTTGCAGGTAAATAATCCCTTCAGAAAATGGTCCCATTACGACATCAGATACAACACGCACAAAAACTGGCCGCCTCGGAACGCTGTCAAGCGGCTCCTCCAATTTTACGCAAAAAAACCCTAAATAAAGCACTCGCACGCTGCAGTTTGCTTGGAAGGACTTGAACGACGCCAGATCATCATTTCCAAGGACGGCCGGAACAGACAAGCCTTCTAACATCAGCACCTGAACGTCATTTATCACTGCCGTACGGATCAGAACGTTTGCCGAAACCATACCAACGCATTCCAATGTCGTGCGGTTGACTGTGATCGGATGCAAAGCCCCCGGATTGAGTCATAACGAACTGACCCCCCAGAAGAGATGCCGACACGCAGGTAACCATTGCTCCCGTGTCGACCAACTGCATACAATCCACTTTCGGAATGCGGTCCCGCACATGAGGCGAACGGCCCTGCGAACTGCGGGGACCTTTGACCTCGGTTCCGGTCATCACTGGTCACACGGTGGTGACCCTCCTCAGTTCAAAGCTTGAGGGCAATCATGCCGAGTGTGCCCAAGCCCACGCCGACGCCAGCAGACCACGGGGGACGGCCGCCCCCGACCGCGACCCAACGGAGCCTGAGAACGCGCCACCTGCCGGTGGCCGGAAAACCACACGTCCAGCGTCGCATTTGCCTGCCCCGGAAACCAGTCCGGCCCGGCCCGGGCGCCGGCCAGCCCGGCCCGGCCGCACCGCCGCCCTCCCCCTGGGCGCGCTCCTGTGGGCCGCCAGCCCAGCTGACCTAGGCCGGGTCGCGTGACGGTCCCCCCGCCCCGCTGAGCCGACCATTGGCTGACCCGCCCGGCTCCTGATGACGTCACGCCGCCCCCGGCGACAGCACCTGCCGGCCGGCCGGCTGGCGCGGCCGCCGCGCCGATCTCGAACACGGCACGAGAGAGCTCGGCTACCTCGGCACGGAGATATGACCTAGCGCTCCCTTCCCTACGGCAGACCCCTCCACAACGTGACTGGTCTAAGCCGGCGAACGATGGACAGCCTCCTCAATTTGTTTTGTATGTATCGGCATGTTCTCAACGTCGATGCTGGGGTACAACAGACCTAACTGTGCCACAACATCCGACGAAATGCCATCCAAAAACAGACTCCCCAAGAGAGCGGCTCCGACAGACGTGTCAGGCTCCGAGCCAGAAAACGCAGCACGAAACGTAGCAAACCGGAGAGGGACATGCCGTATGTCTCGGAAGATCGCTCACGTCGATGATCGAGCTGGTCCCGACACTAACCCTGGGAAGGAACGAACTCCCGACGCAGCGCCGACTTCCGCCTCCGGACATCCTTAGTGGCCTTTTCTGACAGCGCGCCCATCACCGCAATCCGCAAACCAAAGCCAAGAAGCGCCTTCCGCTACGCTTTCCTCCCAGCCCCACCGTCATCCGACAGGCATCCAACCATCGCAAGAAGTCTTCCAGCTCTTCCCACCATCCCACGCCGATTCCTCGCTCAACTTCACTTGACACGCCAGCATAACCACACGCCCTCACCGGTACCAGAAGACCGGCGTCCGGCGTCCGGCGACCACTGACCGCGGCGGCTCCTGTCAGCCCCCGCCTTCAGCGGCCGCAGAGGCGTGCTCAGCCGCGCGCACTAGTGACTCGCTTCATCACGGGGTGATGTTGAATCGATGAGGTGATTTATACATGGCTGGATGCAGAACAAGCTCAAGCTCTCTGATGTCCATTGCTCGATGCTATCTTATCTTTTAATGCATGGTTTTGTTTGCGCTTATTGCAACTAGATGCATAGTCTTAAAAGAAAACATTGGGTAAAGCATAACTTTTCATAGGCATTTCAAATAGGCCATGCTTTTGAAACACCGTGCTCTGCCACCTGGATAGATGGAAATATTATTTCAACTTTTGCAGAAATAGACACCATATCCTACTGTAAATAGTATGTTGTAGTATGCTTATGTGGTAGTGCTGCAGTAGTATGCTTTCACAAAATCAGTTGCTGAAACCCTGTCTGAGACTGATCTACCAAAGGCACCCAGAATTGCTATTTTTTATGCATTTGGCCACCTTTTTCGCATCTTGAAGAAAATGAATGCACTCATTAAAGTTTTCAGCTTCTCCATTGCTCCTGTTATCTGATAAATAACACAAAGGTATGCAATGTGTCTGCTGCTGACAGCCCACACCATACACACTGGGGCAGTCATGTGCAGATGGAACACAGTGGCATAGTGGTTTACTTCAGGGACACAGCAATGTGGCATATCCACTGTTCCAGGGCAGCAGCCATGGGTTGAATGAAATTCCTGAAGATAGTAATGTCAAAAACCTGAATTATACTGCATTTTTTATTTAAGGTAGACCACTGTGAAAACAGTCCATGCCTTTTTGTTTCCAGTGTTTATCAGCCTATACTATTTTCTGTCACTAGTTGAAATACAAACAGGCAGCACCAATTAACTTTACAGTGATAAATATACTTCTAATATGCCTTACTTAATGTTCAATATAAAACCAACAATGAGTTAGGCATTTTCTATGTGATGTATGACCACATTTTGCAGGCACTCTTAACAAGTGAAGCTCATTGTTAATGAGCATACTTCATGAACAGTCAATTAGCTTAACCCCTTACACTTGCTCTCAGGCTGGTGATTACAGCCTCCAGAAGACTTCTGCCAACCTTGGCCTTTACACTATCTGATTAGGTATGGACAGGGGCAGATCTAGCCTGGAGTTTTTTTTTGGGGGGGGGGGGCAACTGTTTGTCACCAGCTGGCTGGTGTGAAATCCAAGGTCCAGTGCATGGTGCCTCTTGTGAGTATCTAGTAGGGACACCATTCAAAACTGAAAAAAGCACCAAAATGCTTTGGGATCTTGAACAGAAGTTAAGACAAAACAGTTAAAACAGTTAAGGTTAAGATAGACAGTAAGAAGACAAAACTTTTATGAAGTTCTCAGAATGTTTTGGGAGGGCCAAAACATACTATCAGAGGTTTTTTTTTGGGGGGGGGGGGGCATGGCTCCATGTCCACACAGGATCTGCCTATGGACATAGAGTGCTTATCATTGTAAAAATAGAAAAATCCAGCTGTTCTGTATCTATAGAAATATCCTCTCAGACATCACATTTAAATATTTCAAAACTTGCTACACAGTACTACTCAAGAACTGTTGAATTATGCCAGAAAGCTGCAATCTGCATCTGAAATTACATGGTCCTAACATACAATGTGGTAAAGCTCAGTGCCCCTAATACCAGCTCTAGTTGCCTATCTTTCCATTCAAAGGCTAGGCTAAAAATATAATACAGACCTAGTTATTAATATTGTAATTTGTGAGTCTCAACCGTTCATTCCAGACTTATTCATCTCCAATCCACGAGCCTGAGCGACAATCCAACACTGGCCCTACGAAACTGAGGTGCTCCAGGACGGCAAATGATCCCTCCTAAGCAACAATGAGGATCTGCCCATAATTTGGGCAATATTGTGTATTCAATGACACACAAAGACTGAGGTACATGCGCATACTCACCCCCTCCCGCAGCTAATTCAATATCCTATGACATCAAATACCTTCCTCCCCCAGTTCCCTTTTTTGTTTGTTTACATAAATGAAATGTATTAGTCGCGGCAAAATATGTCCATGAAATTGGCGATTTATTCAGCGATTTGTTTAGTGACATTGACCTACAGGTCAGTGGTTAGTGACTAGTGCCGACTTCTGAAAACACAACGTTTGACCAATTAGGGCACAAGAACATCGAAAATGCTGCTGATTTTGCAATATCAAGTGACCTTCAAGGCCGATTCTAAATGTGCAAAATGATTCCAAGTGTGACCCACGCTTGCAATGATTAGAGGAGTGCAACTTCCGCACAGACAGGTCTACGAGCCTCCTGTCCCAGCCCGTCGCCTGGGCGCGGGGAGTGGCATGCCGATATACCAATATGAGATGACTGGGTCGGCTGATGGCGTCATGTCAGCCGCGCTCCGTCATCGTGTCAGTTGCGTTCTGCCATCATGCTGGTCGCGCCCTGGTACCGTGTCAGCCGCGCTCCGTTCTGCCCAGCTTTCTCCGTCGTTCCCGGATGAATCTCCCTGAATGGGCCAGTTGACAGTCTGCTCCGCCCGGCAGCTGTGCTTAACGTCGGGACACCAAGCAAACTCCGGCCTTACGAGGCATGGTTGTCGACCAGGCGACCAGGTCAAGTTCGTAACCGGGTCAGGTCAGCGACCAGGTCAGCACGGCTGAAGGCCAGGCAAGACCCGAAAAAACAGCGCTGGGGGGGGGGGGGGGCTGGCTAAGAAGCCGGCAGCGAGCGGCGCCGCCGTGGGTCCGGCCAGAGCCGGTGCAGGACGCCGCCTGCTCGAGCGGCGCCGCCGTGGGCCCGGCCAGAGCCGGTGCAGGCCGCCGCCTGCTCGAGCGGCGCCGTGACCGGTGGTGGCGTCTCCATCTGGGGCCGCCACCGAGCATCTACGCTATCTCCCACCGCCATCGTGGCCGTCCTTGGCCGAGGACTCGGCGAGATCGGCGGCCACCTGGGCCCTGCACGGCCGGCGCCAGAGGTCGCTTAAGCCGATGACGGATGACTCCACGAGCCCTGGCATGATCGTCGGGCACTGAGATCTGCAAGGGACTCCTGGCGTTTAAGTCTGTGACAGACGACAGGACCAAGAAAGGCTTCCGATTCACCATAACGCCCTTTTCTCCTTGACCGTAGCATGACATTCTTTTATAACCCTCATGAATCTATGATTCTTGAGCACCAGAAACGCCTTAGTACTGACACATATAAGCCTGGGCAGTTTCATATTCGGTTGGGGGGGGGGGGTCCAACCACTAAATTTTAAGAAGGAAAGTGGCCAATTCCGGGGCAAAACTCATTTCACGACATTTTTGAGAATTGGTCTGTAGAAATTCCATTGTTCTGCTGCTCCCAAGACTGCAAAAGTATATAGCCCCAAACACGTTTGTTTTGCATATGAGGCCTTCCGGCGCCACACGCCAACCTCAACAAATTCCAAGGAACCAGAATCTCACCGTAACGGCTGAGCACGCACCTCCCTGGCAGACCTCGCAACCAAAGCAGCTAAGACGAGCCCAATGGACTCAATCAAAGTCGTAAAGGTACATTGGTTCAGTCATATATTGTTGCATCAACTTCGAATGCCAACGCGCAGCCCAGCGCACCGCCCACGTCCGCCACGAATGCTCGCGCACGCTACTGACGTTCCCGCGCAGCTCTGAACAGCCTTCGTATGTATAGGACAATAGACAATAAAATGGCGTTATAGCGAGTTTGTGTTGATAATCTGGAGGCATTCTGTATTTAGAAAATAGCGGGAATCTCGAGAACAATTGCAATAATCTGGAGAGATTTTCCGTTTTTCCCCACAGTTTTGCTTCCCGCTTACACAAATCCTTGGACAAGTCTCTTGCCTTAAAATATCTCCAGATTACTATTGACTTACGTTGTTATCAGGTGCGTCTACTTTTCTGTTTGGGCGCCGCGCACGCCACATTGGATTGTTTCGTCGCGTTCATGTGCGGCGTCCGCGGGTGCCGGTGACGTTTCAACTGGTAACTTTCATATACCTCCATCCCCTTCAGGTATGATGATACGTTGCGCATTATAATTGTGGTATGAAAAACCTTCTAAAGATTTGTGTGCATGGGTCTGGTGAAGTTTCTGATGAATATTGAAAAGGGGAGCTTGCGCCACTAATGCCGGGGTTAATGCATGGTTCGCGCGTTGGAGCGGCTACGAGTCTAGTTATTTTATTTGGCCCGCGTTGTTTCTTTGATCACGCAGTTTTTGAGATCAGGATTTTTCTTGATGCTTTTTGTTGTAACAAACGTGACTAATTGCAATAGGAGTGGATGAGGGTTTTGCGACTGCCCCGTACCATGGCAGATGAGTGAGATGAATGCTCAACCATGATTGAGCTAGGTACACACAAGCTAAATTTGTGTAGATCATTGCCTGTAATGTGGTTGTGACTGGTGCATTGTTTTGGCCAGCATATGATGCTCTTTCCTGTGGACATTGCATAATGAACGCAACGAACGATATTTGCACACTCACCATACAGCTAGCTGGTTGTTGTCACAGGAGTCATGCACAGCACTTGTAATGCCAGCAATGATAATAAGTGAGTTTGAATGAAGATGTGTTCAAGAGATAACAAATGGCATCATTAACCTGATACAGCCAGTGTAGCTTTTGGGCTATACATTTTCTTGTGATTATACTGAATGTTTGCTGCCCTAGCACTCCCAGCAGCTGTACCTAACAATTTCATGACTTGTTCTTGGGTTTCAACTGTGTGAGGAGCCCTGCTGCATGCTTGTTTATTTATCTACCAATCAACAATTAGCTCTATCTTTTGCAGTTTTTGATTGCTGTGGATGTGGTTGCCAACATGAGGTTGTACTGATATTATGTGGAAGAGACGATACAATTTTTTGTTGTTCTGATTGCTGTTGCCTCAGTTTGCCTTCATGATGTATTTTTATACCAAAAGTCAGTCAAAATTATTTGTGGTAAATTGCATCCTCATATTTCACAACATGCATTTGTCATAGGAACTTGTATTAGTAATGATGTGCTGGATTAGCCTGGATATGTACCTGATAAGATGTCCTATCAAAAATAAATATTGTTCTCTTCAGTTTTATCACAGGTTGCCAGCCTCACATAAACTATAGGTTGACTGATCAGGATGCAAGGATTATACAGACAAGTCTCTTAGGGTGGTGGTGCAAGGCTTAAAGTGTGGTGGTGCTTCCATCTAGGTGTTCTAGTTGATGCCTGACGAGCTAGTGAAAAAGCACTTAATAGCCTCAGCCTGTGATGAATTGTTATGTTTTCCACCCATTTCAATGCCAATAATAGTCTTGATTTATTTAGGCGCACATTCTCCTATTAAGCCACTGTAATTATTTATGAGGTTTCATGGGCATGTGTTTATTGTTTGTGTATTATATTATTATATTATTTATGCATTATATTGTATTTTTTATTATTATGTCATATTCTTTATGTATTCTATATGCATTTACATGCAAAGTATTATTTTATTGGCCTTTTACCTTGTAGTCCCACAAGTAGTCAGGACAGAAACTTGCCAGTCTGGCACTTGTTCATTGCCATGATTGTGTTACACTGACATGATTATGATGCATATCCCTTAAGAACTACTTCATTCACCAATACCAGGACTGGAAGGAGCTACATAACATGCCTACCTGCTGTCCTCAAGTGTTTTTAACATCCATCACTTTCATGGTCCTCTGCAGAGAGGATGGAGAGCTGGAGATTGGCCCTACAGTGCTGGTAAAGTCACAGTGCTGGTAAAGTCTGGATGACAGAGTTGAGTCTCTGGGGAGGGGAGGGGATGAGTGGCTGTGGACCTTGGGTGGAGATTTGGTGGTTGGGAGAATAATTGTTTGATGTGGATGATATGAGTTGTGAGGGAACCCAGCTCTGCTGCAAACTGATTTCTTCCCTGGGTCTGCTTTGAAAGCAACCAAAGGATTGCTTTGCCCTCACATGACCCCAATGGTGACTGCGGACATACCATTGTTGGGCCTGCTGTTCTGCTGGAGGAAGTTCATTTATTGCAACCTCTTCATAATCTGTATTGTGATCCATAATTGTGATCACAACATGTTGAACGAATAAGCGGTTGGACTCGGTCTCTGTTACACTCCCATTGTTAAGTGTGAGGAGTCTGCAGGCCACATGCAATTTAGCTTGGCGACAGCATGTTGAGTTGACACCTGTGCACCTCACACTGTATCCCACCACACAGTGACCGGGTTGGCCAGCAAGGGCAAGTCCGGGTCAAGGCAATGACCTCCCTTGCCTGTACCCACCCGAGGTTGTGTGCTCAAAAGTGCACCCCAGACACCCCAGACACCCCAAAAGTGCACCCCAGACACTGTTGGGGCAGCGGGTGGGGCTGCTGCTCCCACGAGCCACCTGACCGGCGTCCTCTCTCCGTCTAGTGCGAGTATCTGCAATCTCCGCTGCCTCAACCCGAGGCCGTAGCAAGCCAACACCAGACATGGTGACTATATGGCCGTGTTTGGCCGCGGCGTCGGGTGTGCGCCACATGTGTCAGGAGGTCGGTCCGGTGCTTACTTGTTTGGACACTGGTCGTTGAAGGGCGGCGCTGCAGCCGCACATCACTAGGCGGAGGCAGCTGGTCATTCCACGCTCTCATACTTCAAAGCTGTTTATGGCCATGGCTGCTACGGCTATGGCCTGCTATGGCTATGGCCCGCTATGGCTATGGCCTTGCCGCCGGAGCTCACGGCAGACCGGGACAGGCAGCCGAGGGTCGTCAGCGCCTGGCGCGGCTCGGGGTCGGGCACGGCTGGCATCGGCGGCGCGTGGGCTGGTGCTGAGGCCGGCCCGGCCCGGCGCCGCCGACAGCCGGTGGCTGGCCCCCTGTGCCGGGCGCCTGGCCCGAGCTGTTGCGGT